GAAAAGGCCTGAGGGCAGTAGAGTCCAAGGTGGGGAACCTCGAGCTGAGAAGGGAGGAGGAGAAAAAAGGAAAGTACAGGGTGCAGGAAGCCAGGACACAGTTCACGAGGCTAGGGTAAATCGGGCAGGATGCAAATAAAATGAAGCCCCCCGATGCACTCATTATGGCCTCTGAGAGCACCCTTTTTTTTTTTTTTTTGAGAGCCATTTTTAACTGGACCTTGGAGTGGGCTTAACCGTGGGTAGAAGATGAGAAAAGGAGGTGAGAGAGTAGTCTATTCTTTTGAGAAGTTTGGTGAGGAAAAGGGAAATGGATGGTGTCTTGGGGGATATAGAGGATCTAAGGCAGGATCTTTAAATTACATATATATTTGGAGATTGGAGTCTGTTTGGAGAAGAAACAGGAGAGAGAAGGAGGAACTGAAAATACTGTAAATATTAATCCTAGAGATCATTGAAGAAATCAAGGAGAACAGCTCCAACCATAAGGGGAAGAGGGAAAACTCCTCAGGCTGGGGCAAGGACCTAAGAATGGGTGAATATATATATAGTTACATCTGGAGGTGGAGGAAATAATTAGCTCTCCTGTTTCTATTGCACTTTACAGTAGCCCTGTGAGGGAGGCAAGATGGTTATTACCAAGCCCTGTTGTTGCTCTTCTGAGACACATGAATGACCAAGGGCCACATAATTAGTGGGTAGCTGAACCAGGACTCAGACCAGCAGGTCAGCACAGGGTTCCCTTTGCTAGACCATCCTGTTAGCCTTTCAGGCTTCTTAAAGTGTGGCACTGATCAGGGCCATACCGTCTGTCTCTCCACCTGTCCCATCATGGCTGCTGATAATTCTGCCACACCAACTGTTAACTAAATTGGAGTAGCCCCTCTTTCCAGAACAGACCATGTAGCTTCCAATCTTTATGTTTTTGTTCCCCTCACAAGGCCTTTGTTCGGTGTCCCTTTGCCAAAATGGTAACTGTCCTTCAAGATAAAGAGCATGTATCTCTTCCTTCGCCAAGCTGTCTTCAGGGCACTGGGCTGGAGGCACGTGCACATCTCTCAGGTAGCAGCAATCAGTGTATCTGTCTATGAGTTTTACCCCCCACCCCCGATAGTGTCACCCTTCAGGGCAGGAATCTAGCCATTTGCTCTCATATTCCAACAGCACCAAGCATAAGAATCCCACATAGTATGTTCTCACCAAGTGTTGGTTGAATGAATGATTGAATGAGAGATGCTGTTGCCTGGGCTGGTATAAATGTAACCATTATCCCCAACAAATGGAAAATGTATTTTCTCACATACCAAGAAGTCCTAAATTAGTTCATTCCCAGAAGTAAATGATTCATCGAAAACTAGGGTCTCACTATCTTCCCATTTTGCCACTCTGTTTGCTTTTGTCTCAGATTTGTCCCTCATGGTTACAAAGTGGCTGCAATAGCTCCAGGCATTCTTTATTCATTCCTTCATACAACAAAACCCAAAACTCAGACAAGAGGGAGAGGGACGTTTTGAAGAGTGAAGAAAACTTGCCCAGAAACCCCAGACTTCTCCTGATGCCTCACTGGCCAGAATTGCATCCCATGCCCATTCCTAAACCAGTCATTGGCAAGGTGAATGGAATTAACATAATTGGATTAACCTCACCAGGGAGACCTCCTCAGAGAGCTGGCAGAAATTTCTCACCTCCTTTGAAGCTCTGGCTACCCCTCACTTGAATAAAATAAGAATTCTGATTGCAAGGAAAAGGGGAGAATGGGTGTGGAGCAGGCATCCAGAAGGATCTGCATAGTGATTTTTTTTTCCTCTATATATTTTCACATCTTTGCCTCACAGGACACACAGCATTCTTGTCCAAAGCCATCCTTACTTTCTGGTTTCTTGCAGAAGGAACATGAACCTTGCAAATGTCATACCCCTGGCAGTTACTGTTGCAATGTCTGGCTGAAGGGTCTCCAGCTTGACAAAGTGGACTGTGTGTGCTCTGGTAGCGCAGCATATTATATCAGACTCAATACCACCTTTGGCCAAAGAGTGAGGCTTCACAGCTATCAGAGCTTCTTGCCCCCAGTATCACAGCAGTTTAGTCAATCAGTGGTATACAAAGGGCAGGGCTGTAGGAGTGGTCGTCCCTGGCAGCAAGCACTAAGGAGCTGCATGGTCTATAAAGAATTTTAAAACAATGATAAACCTCTAAATGCAATGTGGTATCCTGCATTAAACCCTGAAACAGAAAAAGGACATTAGTGAAAACTAATGAAATCCACATAGCCTGTAGAGTGGTTAATAGCATTGTACCAGTGTTAATTTCCGTGTTTCGTTAAATGTGCCACGCTTCTGTAAGCAAGGTGAAAGATTTATGAAGATTCTCTATCCCATTTTTACAACTCTCTTACAAATCTAAAATTATTTCAAAAATTTAAAAAAAAATTTTTAATGGCAAAAGTACCTAAAAATTGGATATGCTTTTTTGTATTATCACCATGACAATCCTAAACAATGTTAGTGATAAAAGCACCTGCCCCCTCACCCAAGTGTTTTGGTTCTAAGTTCTAAGCAATCGTTGTAGCTGTTGTTGAGTCTTGATAACAAAAATGTAAGTTCCAACTCAGCACATTTTTATTATTTATGTTTTGATAAGCATTGCATTCTATATGCAGGTTAATCCTAGTAACTCTCATATATACAGTCGACCCCTAATATATGGGGTCTCAGATGCACCCGTTTTTTTTGAGTAAGTTCATATCCAGCTACAATCATCTGAGCTTGTTTCTAGCCCAGTCATATCTTCAGCCCAAGGGTACTTTAGAAGCTTGCATTTGAACCACAAATTGGAAACAATTCCAGCACAGTGATTTTACAGCTGAAGAAATAGTACGTGTGGCTTCAGTTCTGTCATTCTGTGTGACCACTTGCAGCTTTTATGTATGTTTAAAATTTAAAACAGTGAAACAGTGCAACATGCCCTTATTATTATTTGTTTCATGTCCTGTGTCATGATTATTTCTGAATTTTGTTTTCATGTCAAGGAGCAGAGAGTTAAAAATGATCAGCTCCAGGGCGCCTGGGTGGCTCAGTTGGTTAAGCGACTGCCTTCGGCTCAGGTCATGGTCCTGGAGTCCCTGGATCAAGTCCCGCATCGGGCTCCCTGCTCGGCGGGGAGTCTGCTTCTCCCTCTGACCCTCCCCCCTCTCATGTGCTCTCTCTCATGCTCTCTCTCTCAAATAAATAAATAAAATCTTTTAAAAAAAAAAAATGATCAGCTCCAGGCATTCAATATGCTAAATATAAGAGTGAGTGGAATTAAGATCCCAGGTACTAGAAACTACCATAAAAATCATATTTTCACTCCCTTCCTTTTAGAGATCAAGAAAGTTCGAAGACCCAGAAAGTTGCCGAGGTTAATAAGGATTTGGTGAATTGGGGCAAGGACAAGGGCCTCTCCCCTCCTGGCCCAGTGCCCCCAGCACTGTTTCTGCAGCCCATGCCCGCTCTCCTTTAGCAGACAGGCAATAACTTACAAAAACCGAGTCACTTGTCCAGGGTCAGCTAGTGACTCAGTGGCAGAGCAAGACGTGGGAACCAGGACTCCTGACCGTGTGGGGCTCTAACCACTGCCCCCATTTCCTCTTTCCAGCTCTCATTCAACTAGAGACAGATTAATTCCAGACGACCAAAGAATGTGCCACCTGACATATGGAAAGAGGGGAGCATTTTTTTTAAAAGAGTCACAACTCAAATTGACATTAGAAAAGAGTAAATTTCAGTCAGAATTCCCACAAGCAGAAAAACAGTGGAATACAACATTTGGGAAGCATGGGAATGATTCCAGACCTTGATTTCCACTGATTTCTCCAACTTGGGGGGCTATTGTTCAATGGAAACTATATTGGGATCTTAAGCTGCCCACAAAAATGCTCATCCTTAGTTTTTTCATGTTTAAGGAGAAAGCAATAATTATTAGAGTGACATTTGTGATGCAGGGGGCCATCACATTGAGGATAAGCTCAATAGCAAGAACTCCATGGAAAGGTGTGCATGAACCACTGCCTTCCCTGAGCCACTCTCTCCTACACTTTCCTAGACTAGACTTTCTAGACTAGACTAGACTTTCTAGACTCCTAGAAAGGTAGGCACTATCTTGATTAATAATCAATCTAGGCACCTCCCTGTGAACCTTTGCTACCAATTCTTGAAATTCATCCCATCTCTGTTTCTCAGATCACAGCCCAGGATTCAGAACCCATTCACTTGTGAATTGTCAGGCATGGACACTACATACAACTGTTGGGGTCTGTCTTGGCACAGCTCCCTACCACAATAATTGTTTAGGTGATCCCTGATCCCCACTGAGCTAATAATTGACCTCCTACCGCATGCTTGGAAGGATGATGATTGAGTGGACGGATGGACGGATCGATGAGTGGATGGATGGAGGAATGGAAAGGTGGATGGTTGGATGTAGGTAGCATTTTGTTCCCTACATGAGTGGATGGATAGATAGATTTACAGGGAGGTAGATGGATAGATGGGTGAATGGAATGGAAGAGTGGATGAGTAGATGGAATGGAAGAGTGAATGGGTGGGTGGATTAATGGATCAATATACAGGAATCCATACCATTCCATTTTTATATTGGTGCCCAAGGTAATTCAGTAGTAAAGGGGCCCCAAAGGGATTCTACTTCCACATAGGAAATATGTTCAAGACCAAAGCTATATTTGGATTGTGTAGAACTTAGCCTTCGGGTAGATTTTAAGGCCCTAAGAGGCAGGAATTATAGCTTTCCATCTACGTGCCTTAATAACCAGATCATTCCCTGCTACATAGTAGGTACTGCATGAATATTTGTTGCCAAGAATGAATGAATGAATGATTTGAAAAACACAAACACATCCTGATTCTTTGTTCTTATATTCCAACATTAAAATGTCATTCCTTTGTGAATCAATTATGTATCCAGAAAGTATCCAGTTAGGATGCAGCATATTCCTGGATATTAAATACATTCAGCTCTTTCCATTTGTTGTCTCCTTGGCAGGAATTAGCTAGTCACACTGCTGTCTCTCCTGATTCCTTGCTGATGAGGTTGGGCACGGGGCAGGTCCAGAGGTTTCTCTGACTGGGCTGAAGGATTCTTGCTGACCAGTGCGAATGGGCCCTTTACAGTAGGAAATACCAGCGCTGTGAGGAACAACCCAAAGAAGCTCCTCTCTCATCTGACCCCTGGCAGCTAGCCCCTGGCCTTCTCAGCATCCCCACCTCTTGGTAGGATGGGAATTCCTTACTTCATCCCCTGGGTTTCTGCAAGGTGGGCAGGGCACGCCAAGTGAGGAAAGAAATGAGAGAGGAGGAAGAGCGAAAGCAAGAAAGGAAGCATAAGAAGAAAGGAAACACGGGACAGTAAAGAGAGGAGAGGGGAGAATGGGCAGGGGCAGGAGAGAGCAGAATGGTCTTTGCAGCACAGTGCCTCCGGTGATACCATCATCATTGTCTTGCCTGAGCAGATGTGCAAGGATTCCATCTACTCATTATACAGCATGGAAATGGAACACGTTTGTTTCTATCAGCCTCATCGGAAATCTTGGCAGATGCTGTCCGAAAGTGCGTACTGCTTCGGAGATGTGATCTTTCAACAGCGCATACTGTACTTTTTTGATTGGGGTTGGAAAAGACAGGAAGAGGGAGCTGATTGTGTTTTTGTTTTGTTGTTTAATTTTGAAATTACTCTCTCCAAGGAGGCTTTTCCTTAGACCACACGGAGCTCCTCTGACTAGCCAGGATGGCACAACCAGGGGTCTGGGGCTGGCCAGCAGGCTTAGGGCCACCCTAAAGCCCTGTGCCAAGGGCCCATTCCTTTGAAATAGCCCCCTCTGTACAGGGTTCAGAGCTCCCCCTTCATGGCTCTCACCTCCCCTTAGTCCAGCATTATTCTGAGCTTCCACTCTCCTCCACTGCACTTCAGCCTCGACCTCCGTGTCCCTGTCTCGCCTGAAGACATCTGAAGTGGGTGGTTCAAGCAAAGAGCATTTTGTTCCACGCTGAACGAGGCTCAGGGAGACCGGTAGTGCCAGAGACAGGAGTGGGCACCATTCGTCACTAAACTAAAGCCTCGCAGTGTGCAAGTTCCCCACGACAAACACCACCTTTCCCTGGGAAGACAGCCAAGACCTGGAGCCCTGCGTAGGAAATCCCCAGTGAGAGGCCCTTCCTGAGCGCCACAGAAAATGGTTCTTTTCATCGACTGAGTCCCCTTCCTTTCTAGCGTACAGGCCCACATCACATCCCCCTTCCTGGCCTTCTACACTCCGCTCACATGCCAAGTGCCCCGCCCTGGCGCCTCATGGCTCCTGTGTCCCTTCCCTTTCCCCTCCACGCTCACTGGGCTCCCCCAGCCCTCACAAAGCCTCCTCCTTCCCCCAGTAGGGCTGCCGACTCTCCCTCCATCCAGCAAGCACCCTGTGCCCCCACGTGAAACTGTTCCGTGCCATGTCCTCACATCTCCAGAGGCTCCTCTCGGGTTGAACAGAAATGGTTTGTTGACTTTACCAGATTAGCAAGGGGAGCAAATTCCACAGATGCCTCTGTCCCTCAGTCTCAAAGTTCAGACCTCCAGCTTGATAGCAGGAGGAGGTGATGCGGGCAGCCTGAGAGTGCATGAAAGAATGACAGCTAACAGTCCCTCTTCATGGGGTAGTTGCTAGCCGGCAGGCAAAGGTCGACACCTCTCACGGCTTCTTAATGTAATCCTCACGACAATCCTCTCTCTATTCCTAGCCCTGCTTTACAGAGGAGGAACGAGATGGCACGTGAGGCTAGGGAGAGGCAGACCCGGAGTGTGCCTGGAGGATGGCACTCCTGCGCCCCTGGGATTACCTCTCCCAACATGCACTGCCAGGAGCAGGAGACTTGGATTCCAGCCTCCTCCTGCCACTGCTCAGGTGGGTCACTTCGGGCCTGCCACCTTCATTTTCCAAATGTCCTTCTCCTGATCGGAAAAATTATGGGAAGGAGGTGATTTCCTGGGGCACTTCCATACAGTGACACTGATTCTTTTCCTCATTATAAAGGCACTCAGAGAGATCCCCAAGCTTCCAGGACTCAAGACCAGCCCCAGGTAAAGGGATGAAGTAGCTGTTCTTTGAATGTGTCCCCATCTGGAACAGGGTGAACATACAGTCCAGCGTGAGGCAGCCATTCAGTCCAACTCTCCTGGGCAAGAGGGCGTGATCCCTCACGCTTTGACAGGAGATGGAGTCATAAACACTGTTGTAGATAGCAGGGGCCATATGATCCCAGATGTCCTGCACCCCTGCCAGGGTCCTCTCGGTGACTGTCCTTTACCTGCACTCTAGCACACTCTCACCTTCCCATCTTGACCTCTAGCCTTCCCTAGAGACTCATGCGTACCTCCCCTGCCAATTTTGACTGAGCAGACAGCATGTTACGAGTTCATCCTTACCATTGGCGGAAGATTTGCAGTGCCATATTCCGTCAATTGGAAGATGCACCCTTTTAATCTCATTTTAACATCTTATTCATTTAACATTGATCCTAAAACCGATGGCACATCATCGTTTACTTGGCAGCACTTTTTCTTTCACGGTGGCTCACAAAATCGTGGTGTATCTTACAACTGAAGGCCTCTTCGTTTTGATGAATTGTGGTAAGTAGCATTTTCCAGGTCCGAGCTCTAGAAGCTCAGCCAGAGGGTGACCTGGGTGCCGGTTCTCTGAGGCTTTTCCCTCCCAATCAGGACTGGGTCCAATATAACGGAGGTGATCTCCCAAGGACTTACAGGGCCCTCTAGTTGTAGGCATGGGTGATCTATAAAATGTTTAATGACCAGACCAATCTGACAGAAGACAGCTGAAAACATCTGGCACGTCTGTCCAGGCGCTTACCCACTCCCCACCCTGGAAATAGTAGTCCTTGCTGTTGGCTCCAAGCCTGCCGCCATCTTCCCTCCTGCCTAATTTTATGGACACTTGCCAGCACTCTCGGGGAACTTGGCCTATCACCCAACCCCAGGGGACAATCCCTAAGTGGATGAAGTCAGGCCTGGTTATCCCAGTCTCCTTTGCTTTTATTGTTTTTAGGAGTGGGCATGTGTATTAATTTACTATTACTGCTATAACAAATGACTAGAACTTGAGCTTAAAACCACATAAAGGTATTATCTTGTGTTTGTGTAGGTCAGAAGTCGGGTACAAGTCTCACTGGGCTAAAAATCAAGGTGTCTGCATGGCTGAGTTCCTTCCTGGAGGCTCTAGGGGAGAACTGGTTTCTTTGTTCTTTCTCAGGGATTGGCAGAATTTAGTTTCCTACTCTATGATTGAGGTCCCTGGCTGTCAGTTAGGGACCTCTATTAGGGTCGAGACACCCCTTTCCAGTTCTTATTCCACATTGAGACCAGTGACAAATTCTCCTCACACTGCCATCTCTGTCCCCCAGCTGGGCTTGTGGGATTAGACTGGGCACCCCAGATAATCCAGGAGAGCCTCCCCATCTCAAGTCCCTGTGGCCATGTAAGGTCTTAATCACATCTGCAAAGTCCCTGTGACCATGTAAGGTCACATATTCACAGGCTCCAGGGGACAAGAGAGCGAGCATCTTTGGAGGCCATGGTTCTGTCGGCCAAAGTATGTGACCCACTCTGGCTGAAGAGCTATAAATGGGTATCTGCTGGGCATTGGGGGATATTGCTCCTTGATAAATAGACGGACTTTGAGGAGTCCTGCCCTGCTCCTACCTACTTTGAGATGCTATGAGCTGTGGCACCTAGCTTACCAGCATTAGGCATCAACACCAAGAATAAAAGCTAACACACTGAGAAAAGCAGTGAGAATATCAGAGTGAAAAGAAAAAGCTTACCTTTTGATGACAACATGGAGCTGCTGAAACAGCCTAGATCTCCTGCCTTCTCCTGTTGACACCTCTTTAAGGGCTGGGCAAGGCTCCCATATTTCTGGTTATGGCTGGGGATTAGTCTTGGAAGAATAGATCTCCCATAGTCCATAACGCTGCCTGCCAGGTTGTACCTCCTGGCTGAGATGATGGGCTGAATTATGCCTGAACTTGAGGCGCCCTCTAAACTTGATGGCTTGGATCGCTGGCTGCCCTCGTGGCGGGTCTGTCTTCCAGCCCTGTACCATCCAGGCTTAGCTTTTCCCTCCCTGTTAATCTGCATGTCCAGGGTCACACCATACCTACATTCTGCCCATCTTGGTGTTTCTGGTATATCTTAATAGCCAGATACACGAGGCTGCTGGCCAGTCCCTGACAAGCCCTTTCACTTTTATGCTTCTGTGTCATTCTTCCTGCTGTTCCGTCAATCAGAAATGCCCTTTCTATATCCTTATATCTTTACCATTATATCCTTGCAACAATCTTGGGAGGAGGTGCTGTTACTCCCATCTGGCAAATGATTCAAAACACCAGGTAACTTATTTAAGGGGACCTGGCCAGTAAATGGCAGAACTGGGGTGTCTCTGTAGGTCTCACCGATGTGAAAGCCCATGTCCGTTTAGCATTTTAGAGGAGACACTGCCCAACTGAAGTCTTGAAGGATTTGTCTCCCTCACTACATTCTAAGCATCTTGAGCACAGAGGGTGAGTCATTCTTTAGTGGCCCCCAGCATCAGTGGTGTGCTAGTCAAGGTTAACAACTGGCTCTGGGAGAGGGTTGGCGTGGGGGGGGGAAGAGGGGGGAAGCCCTGATTTGTACTATTTCCCACGGGGTAAATTAATTTTTTTAAAGATCTTATTTATTTATTTTAGAGATAGAGCAACAGAGATATCAAGAGAGAGAGTGAGAAGCAGGCTCCCAGCCAAGCAGCCGCAGGGAGCCTGACAACGGGGCTGACCCCAGGACTCTGAGATCACGACCTGAGCCGAAGGCAGACGCTCAACCGACTGAGCCACCCAGGCGCCCCTCCCATGGGATAAATTCTCCCATCACCTGATTTCAAGCTCCCAATGTGACATTACTGAACAAGGAGTTAGGAGAGATGTGTAGAAACACACCATCATATGATATTTCCACCATACAGATACAGTAGATGTGAATAACCTCAAAAGGACAAAAAATAGTAAAAAGTAGTAAAATAAGTAGGGACTTTTGATTAGTTATTACCTTTGTTTTAAATCTAATTTATTCTATTTTAATTTTATGTAACTTAACCTTTAATAATTATTGTGTTTCATGATCAGCTTGCAAATTTCCTGAAAGCTTAATAAATCGGTTTGCAACTGGTTTGAGCTGGTTCTGGCACACCACTGCTAGGGTCAAGTACAAGGATTTGCTTTTTTTTTTTTTTTTTAAGATTCATTTATTCATTTAAGAGAGAGAGAATGCGGGGGCGCCTGGGTGGTTCAGTTGTTAAGCGTCTGCCTTCGGCTCAGGTCGTGATCCCAGGGTCCTGGGATCGAGCCCCACATCGGACTCCCTGCTCCGCGGGGGGCCTGCTTCTCCCTCTCCCACTCCCCCTGCTTGTGTTCCCTCTCTCGCTGTGTCTCTCTCTGTCAAATAAATAAAATCTTTAAAAAAAAAGAGAGAGAGAATGCGGAGGGGGACAGAGGGAGAGGGAGAGAGAGAGGGAGAGAATCTTCAGCAGACTCCCTGCTGAGCACGGAGCCTGACACGGGGCTCAGTCTCATGACCTGAGACCATGACCTGAGACCATGACCTGAGCGGAAATCGAAAGTCAGACATGCAACAGACTGAGCCACCCAGGTGCCCCAGATTTGCCTTTAATAGGCACTGGAGGGCGCCTGGGTGGCTCAGTCGGTTGAGCGACTGCCTTTGGCTCAGGTCATGATCCTGGAGTGCCAGAATTGAGTTCCATCGGGCTCCCTGCTCAGCAGGGAGTCTGCTTCTCCCTCTGACCCTCCCAACCCTCCCCCCTCTCATGTGCTCTCTCTCTCAGTCTCTCTCTCTCAAATAAATAAATAAAATCTTTAAAAAAAAAATAGGCACTGGAATGGTGGTGAGGATGCTAATAAAAAGAACAAGAATATGATCTCACTGATACGAGGAATTCTTAATCTCAGGAAACAAACTGAGGGTTGCTGGAGTGGTAGGGGGTGGGAGGGATGGGGTGGCTGGGTGATAGACATTGGGGAGGGTATGTGCTATGGTGAGCACTGTGAATTGTGTAAGACTGATGAATCACAGACCTGTACCTCTGAAACAAATAATACATTATATATTAAAAAAAAAAAGAAGATAACAGGAAGGGAAAAATGAAGGGGAGAAATCGGAGGGGGAGACGAACCATGAGAGACTATGGACTCTGAGAAACAAACTGAGGGTTCTAGAGGGGAGGAGGGTGGGGGGATGGGTTAGCCTGGTGATGGGTATTAAGGAAGGCACGTATTGAATGGAGCACTGGGTGTTATATGCAAACAATGAATCATGGAACACTACATCAAAAACTAATGATGTAATGTATGGTGATTAACATAACATAATAAAACAAAAACAAAAAAAATGCACATAAAAAAAAGAACATGAGTATCCATTAATGAGTTTTGAAGAGAGTCTGATAACTCAGTCTTCAATATCCTTTCCTGTGTTTGAGAATTTCTTAGTTCCATTGCTCAGACTTTACCGAAAGCCCAGCAAATAAAAACTAGCTGACAGGAGGGACCAAAGAATAGCCAAGGCTCCCACTAAGGGCTGTGAATCCTGAACTCTGCCCAGTGTCCGGGTGGGCCCCTATGACTGCTTCCAGTTCCAAAGGGTCCATGTGGACCGGGCTTGAGGAAGCCTCTGGAGCTCTGTCTTCTCTCTTCACCTCCCCCTGACCACGCCCACAACCAGAGACCTGGGGGGGCGCACGGGGCGGGGGGAGGGGAGCACCAAATCAAATTAGCACTCAGTTACATTCAAGAAAGGACAGCCTCCCAGGAAGTAGGGAGCCTAGAAAGAAAAACTACATTGCGGCCTCCCAAGAAGTCCTGCCTCTCACTGTCTTAAACTTTTGTCATGGGTGCTGTGCTGATGTCACGGGAAACTGGAGGGAGCGGGACAGCTGGTGAATCAGCACTCAGCACTCTCCTCCTCCTGGCGCAGGGATTGCTCCATATATGGACTCGGGCTCAACAAGGCAGTCCCACTGATTTGCATTGGAGATCCCTTAAAACTGCATTTTGGGATTAGGTCATTGTTAGCAGGAAAAGGGAGACCCCAGAAAGGTTGGTCAGCATAAAGAAATTGGGCCAATTGTGGTCTGGCAAGGGAAAGCTGAGACGAGGGGGCAGCCCCATCCAGTCACACAGCTCTGGGGAAATGAAGGCCAGAGCCTGAGAAAGCAGTGGGAGTGACTCCAAGCAGTGGTTGCAAGGGGAGGGATTGGGCAGAGGACCAGCCCATTCCTGCAGACCGCACTCTGCCCCTGGCTGGCCGGGGGCTGCTGGAGCTTTACCCTGAGGCTGATTCCCACAAGGGGAAGAGCTCCAAAATTTCAGATATGAGAGACAGTTCCCCTGCCTGCGAGTGAAGGTGGCTATGAGGCTGCTGAACGTCCAGGAGCCCCACTGGTCCGGTGAGGGACAGACCAGGCTCTGAGTTATCCTGAAGTCGAGATGGGTTCACCCAGGTAGAACACAGCTTGTTAACCTCCAGCCCCCATTCCATCCATCCAGACCAGGGCAGCCCAGTGTGACGCAGCCAGGCTGTGGGAACGCAGGGAAACAGGAGAGGAAAAGGAGGTTGGGTAGTGGTCTGGGAAAGTGGCTTTTAATAGATGGCCAATAAATTGGATCCAACTGGTAAAGATTAACTAACTTTTGTCGTTGTTTCCGCAATGTGTTTGCTTTAACTTTTTTTTTTTTAAGGACCAGCTTAAATTATTTCATGATGCTTCTCTCTCCGTATACCCCCCTGATTTTGTTCAAAAGACCAGAACCGTGGAATCATTGTGAGAAGGAACTACTCCATATGCAAAACACAGACAAATCTCACGAACGTAATGTGGAGTGAAAGAAGGCAGACACAAAAGAGTACTGTGAAATCCCATTTATATCAAGCTCGGAAACAGGCAACACCAATCTGCGATGGTAGGAATCGGGATAGTGGTTCCTTTGTTGCCATTAGCAACTGGGAGGGGCAAGAAGGCTTCAGGGGTGACGGCGACGTACTAATTCTTTGTCTGGGTGCCGCTTACATGGCTGTAGACACACTGAGCTGTCTGCTGATGGACGCATTTCTGTATGCATGTTCTATTTCAATCAAGTTTCCTTAAAAAAGAACCAGAATGTAATCTTTGAAAGAAGTGGTGACAGGTAGAATAAATTCCTGTGTGCCAACCGAAAGGAAGCCTCTGAGGGTTGGTTGACAGAATGGAACCCCCACCCCCAGGGCAAAGAGTCAGAAGACTTGATTTCCAATTGCACTCTGTTATTCGCTGCTGGAAGGCTCTAGGAAACTTAGCTCCCCTGCTCTTCACTTTCTCTGCTGCAGAACAAAATGGGTTGGAATGGATTGCATGGTCTCAGAGAGAAGATTCCTCTTTCTTACCTGTTCCAGTGGAGATGGAATAGGATTTCATGTTCATTTTGCCTCTCACGTGATCTTCTTATAGAGGAATGATCTTCAAGCTTGGTGAGCTCACAGATCGATTTTTACACTGTCAAAACGTGCACACACACGTGCGCGCACACACCCACACGTGCACACCTAGGGGTATGTGGCCCCCCTCAGTACCCTTTTGTCCATCACCAGCCTCAACTTTCCCATGCATCTCCTTCTTCATCTTCATCTCCATGTTCCTTGATCTGTACTCCTTTCCTAGGACCACCATACAATGTACCACCAATGGGATGGCTTAGAACAACAGAAAATTTGTGTCTCACAATGATGGAGGTAGAAGTCCAAAATCAAGGTGTTGGCAGAGCTGTGCTACCTGCGAAGGCACTGAAGGAACTTTTCCGTGTCTCTCTCCGAGCTTCTGATAGCCTCCAGCGTTCCTTGGCTTGGAGATGATCACTCTAATCCTCTGTGTTCATGTGGCGTTCTCCTGTGACTTCCCCAACACGATCTTCCCTCTGTGCTTGTCTGTGTCCATGTGACACCAGTCCTATTGGGTTAGGGCCCACCTGAGTGACCTCATTTTAACTCAATGACCCTATTTCCAAATAAGGTCACTTTCTGAGGTACTAGGGGCTAGGACTTCAACATATATTTTGGGCGGGGTGGGGACTCATAACAGCCGGTGATTAAAAGGCTTCAGGAAAACCTCAAGTAGCCCCCCCAACTCCATGTCCTGCCAGGAAAGGTTAAGGATCCCAGGTGAAGACCAAATACCAAGAAACTTGGATAAATAGTGAGACCATTCTATGTTTGTACAGAGCCTCCCACTCCCAAAGCACTTGCATAATTATTAAACCATTTGATTTTTCTTATTTCTAATCTTTTTTTTTAAGATTTTACTTATTTATTTGTCAGAGAGAGAGAGCACAAGCAGGGGGAGCAGCAGGTAAAGGGAGGAGCAGACTCCCCGCTGAGCAGGGAGCCCGACACAGGGCTCGATCCCAGGATCCTGGGATCATGACCTGAGCCAAAGGCAGACACTTTACCGACTGAGCCACCCAGGCGCCCCATAAACCATGTGATTTCTCACACTAAGAAAGGCAGAGATGCAGGCTTTGGGCCCAGACTGCTTGGGTTGGAACCTCAGCTCCATCTGTTTTAGCTGCTTAACCCTGGGCTCACAGCCTCTATACTTCAGTTTTCTATCTGTCAAAAGGGATGTGGTAAGAATCAAGTGAATTAGCATAAGCACTTACAACACTGCCTGGTACGCAGTTAGCATCGATAAATGTTATCAACAAGAACAAAGAGCCAGATAGTGTCACCTGCATCTTACAGATGAAGAACCTGGGGCACACAGGGCTAATTCAAAGCAGATCAGAACTGAAACTCTCGGGCCTTCTGGGATACAGCACTGACTCGTTAGGTTATCTGGCATGACGGACTGTCCATTTTTAGGTAACAATAACAATGACAGCTACCTTTTACTGAGCACTTACTAAGCGCCAGGCACTGTGCTAAGCACTTTATATTCAGCATCTCATTTGATCCTCATAATGACCTATGAGGCAGGTATTGTCCCCATTTTAGAAAGGTGCAAGTTGAGGCCTAAAATTTCAGGAAGCCAAGTTGGGTCACCTAGCTAGTGATGAAGAGCCAGGATTTGGATGCCAGTCTCTGCAATACCAGGGCCTGAGTTTTTGATCACTTGTGCTCCATACCTCCGGAAAGAAAACCAGCGTGCTTGCTGGCTTTATACGCAAGCAGGGGTTGCCAGGATGAACAGGGTGATGTGGGTAAGTTCCCCAAGGGTCAAGAAGAAGCCTCTCTTAACCATCCTTCCCCCTACCCCCTGCTGCTTCAGGGACTGCACCCCAATAAGTGTCCCAGATCCTCCCAAGGAAGAGTTTTCAGATCAGACCCCAGGAAGCCGGGCCTCGGAGTGGAGAGGCACCAGAGGAGAGCTGGACGGCCAAGCCAGAGGGATTGTCAGATGCTGCCAAAAAGACAGAGGAGCCCCCAGGGCCAGAACCAGAGGGAGCCGTGGTGTCCAGCCCCAAAGGCTTTACGACTCTCTCAAATCTGTGAAGAGAGAGGGGAACAACTTGACCGAGAACCCCAGGTGCTTCCAGGCCGGGAAGGGGGAGTACCGCTCCTCCCAGATGGTTCAGATGGCTGCCCGAGGACACCTGCCTGGTTTAGGGAGGCCTAATGAAGGCAGCCCTTCAGAGGGCTCTGCCCGGGCGGGTCCCTCATCCATCCCGAGGCCCACACATGGCTTGGCTGGCAGCCCAGACAGACACGACTGTTTTGGCATCTGTCATCTCTTTTTCTCCCTCTATGGGCGGCACCACTGTACTCAGAGTCCTTGATCCCAGCTGGCCTGATAGCGTCCTCAGGATCCAAGCGCTCGGCCTGTGCCTCCTGGGGCCCCCTGGTGGACTAGCAAAGGTTCAATGTATCATTTGAGTCCTCAAATAAGGCAGGTGTGGTTGAGAAGAAGGGGGAGGAGGACGAGGAGGAGGGGAAAAAAAATCATTGTGCGTTTTTCCCCCAGCCGAATTTAAAGGGCTCTGTTGTGAATTTCTCTCTTGTCCCTGACTGAGGTGAATGATTTGCTATGACTGCAGGAGACACAAAAACAACAGCTGTGACCCCGGAATGGACTTTGGTGGGCGAGGGGGCGGGGGGGTAGGCAAAGCAGAGGGCTGGCCTCTTCCCTTGACCTTCCATTTAGAGCATCCCCCAACTCTCAGGGCCTTTAGAAAGTAACACATTTAGAGTTTTCCCAAAAGAACGTGAGCTGTGGCCTGAGGAAAAGGTGTTTACTCCCACGGAGGTGGGATTTTTATTGCTGGTTTCAACATCAAGGAGGTGTGAACGTTATGGACAAATCCTGACAATCAATACCACCTGAGGAAGGCCAGAAAGGGGGCCCACAGGCCAGGGCTTCTCAGACTTGAGGTGCACGGCTCGGAAGCCCCTGGGGATCTCAGGAAAATGCAGATTCTCAAGCAGGAGGACTGGCGTGGGGCACCGAGAGTCTGTGTTCCCAGCATGACCCTGCTGCTTGCCCTGAGACCACTCCGGACTAAGAAATAACTCCACTCCTTCTCTTGGCAGTCCCCTGCATACACACCTCCCCTCACCAAAAACAAAATAAAACAGAACAGGGAAACTGCATTGCCTGGAAGTATCTTACATAATCCCAGGTAAATGGGAAGGGACTGCCATACCGTATTTAGAATTTTAATATGCTCCCTCTCTGGCCAAGAATGGGCTTATTCTGGATCAGGTCACAGGGTTGGGCAAAGGATGAAGAAAATTCCATGGAAGCTTGGGCACTCTTATAGAACAAGCAGAAACAACGGTATCACAACCAGTTTTTGTTCTGAAATATATTCTAAGTGTGGCTTTGACTGATATGCATAAAAATACTAGAAAACATAATTAAAGGCAAATTTTAGCTGTTCTTTGTGTTTTTCTGTATTGCCCAAATTTTCTACAAACCAACCAAATTGCTTTTTTTTTTTGAAGGCTAAACTTGAAACATCCTGTGCCGTCAAAGTTTCTAGGCCTTTTCCCCAGTGCTAGGAACCAGAATGGAATCTGATATTGTACATACAGGTGCATTCTGCAGATAACTAAACCTTTGCGGTGGGGGAGGACAAGAATCTTCTAGTGCTTAGGAGACCAAGCAGGCAGGGCAAGGCATCAGTGAACCCTGATTTAGCATGGGAAGGAGCAGAGAGAAGGCTTATGAGGAAAACCCAGTCTCTGCCTCCTGAGGTCATGCTGACCGCTTGCTGGCCCAAGGGCTGATTTATTTTAGTTTCCGTGGCTTTGAGCAAGGCCAATTTGCACAAATGATGGTCTGGCATCTTGATCCGTGTTTACAAATCAATGCACAGACTACCTAAATCAATGAACTGTGATCTTGTGCATTTTGTAGATGAGAAAAAAACCAAGTTGGGCGGGGGAAGGTTGCAGAGGGTGGAAGTAATCACGGAAATGGAAACTTCATAACTCTGTTTCCCATCGCATGGCATTTCCTTTCAATCAGGGATTCCCAATCTTCAGAACTGCTAGGGCAGCATGACTCTGGATAAACACAGTCCTCCCTTATCAGCACCAGGCTTTGTATACAGTGGGTGCTCGGTTTTTGAATACACTAATGTTTCTCTCATAATGGTCTGAGCAAAGAGCACAGAGCAATTTTAGGAAATGGCTATCTTTTCCCACTGGTAGCAATAAGCTTTGCAAAGAGGTTTGCACAGGTAATCACCCAAAAGCTATCTGTTAAATGGAATAAAAGATTATGGAAGCAACAAGATTTAAGAGGACTGAAATAACAGAACAGATTTCTAAGAAACGGGAAAGGGGACGACTCTAAATGTAGCAATATTCTTTTCTATTTAAACATGTAAGATGGCTTTATGGTTTCAAGCATGTGATATCTAATGTTTGAGGAGATAAAATTCCAGGAGGGCCCATTCCTTGATCTCTCTACCCACTGTTCAGGAGTGAAGACTGGCCTTCTGTTGGCATCTTGGCTGATCTTTCAGCTGCTTTGTGCCAGTCCCACTCAGTTTTGAATATTCTTTATCCTTCATGCTTGGGCTGCAAAGGTAAATATAAGCAACATTTTGCTTTTTGTCTCCAGTCTTTACTCCTCTAGGTCCTTTATTCCCTTGACCATGACCTTTCCCATCAGATGTTCAGTATTTCCATGGTTTCTCTAGAAAAAAGGGAAAACTCCTTTATAGAGAGGTACAAACAACTGGTAACAATTTAGAGTAGCACAGATAGGTCTATCCCAGGCCAAACCAAGAACAGACAAAATTTGTTCCTTAAGGATCTCCTTGACTATTTTTGATCCTCTGTTTTCAGTGTCAAGATGTCCCTGGTTTCAACAGCATCTTTCTGAGACTCTCTATCAACTCAGGAAAGGCTCCCTATCTGCAACTTTGCCCTGACTCCTATATTTCTCCCCTCCTCACCATCCAACCAACACGTACCCAACCTGTCCCAGCGTTCCCTGTCTTCATCATAAATTGACCAAATGTACCAACAGGTCCCCTTAATAGTAAGAATAGGGGACAAGTGCATTGGTGAAATGGTAGACCAACCCTGCCTTTTGGCCCAGGGGCCCAATAAAGGTCGATGACAGATGAGTTAAGCTGTGGCCTAGGTGGTCTTGTCTTGATTCCAAAGCACCTTCCGCCAGCCCTATGGGCATTGGTGACTCACCCGAAGTCTTGGAGGACCAAATTGCTCCCTAAGTAAAGCAGATAAGATGAAAACACAAAGTGGTATTTGCTGGGGTAGATCGTTGCCCTTTCAGTGTGTTTGCATTGTCTACTTCTGATCCAAGGTCTCTGGCTGAGCAAATTGCTACGTGACCAATTAAATTTCCACTGCAGTGGGTTCGGCACATGCCCAAAGCTTCTGTCGTAACAAAGTGCACTCCCTGACTGCCTTGCTAATGGGAAGTGGGCTTTGCAGCATACATACCATATGGGAAGAACCAGAAGACCAGATGTGGGGCTCGGCACCCCTTTTCCTGGGCAAGAACCAACCCTGAATCCACAAGTTTGTTCTATCTTACCACTACTCTACACTGACCTCCAGAATTTTTTATGAAAAGCAGCTGGGAAGACTGTTGGACACCCTGATTTCTGCGGTGTGCTAACACCGGCCACTAATGCACATAGAGCTTCATTCATTTGCTGTTGAGGGAACAGGAGCTGGAGTTCTCAGACCCAGGTCACAAAAATATGACCTTGAGAAGGGAACTCTCTGTCAGCAGGAGACAAGTCTGCCATCTTTGTCATACCAGGCTGCAGTGGTGAGTCGGTTGGAACTGCGAGGCCCCCAGTGGAGACCGTAGGTTTGGGGCTTGGTCAGGAGGGCCACACAACCCCTAGAACTTTCTGGGGGATCTTCCTAAAAAACAGTCACCAAGATCTGACTCATCCGTAGTTCACTGAAGGCTACTGACCGGAATGGGTCGCTCACTCTAACTGAGGATGTCAGACCGGGGCAACTGGGGAAATCTGTTCCTGGGATGTGTGTCTGTTTGGGGTGGGGGTGTACCATTGCCTTTCTGATCCAAGAGTAAATGTGATGAACTAAAAAAGACTCTTGGGAGGGTAAAGTACAGGCAAACATAAATGTGACCAGTTTACCTCTTAAATATTTATCAGCCTACACTTACTTATCTTGCGAGGCCATAGAACACAGTGGTGAAACCCACAGTCTTTGGCACCAAACAGATCTGGGGTTTGAACTCCAGCTGTACTCATTGTGTGGTCTTGCGCAAGTTACTTAACTTTTCTAGGTCTCACTTCCCTTATCAGTAGCATGAGAGATGATCATAATAAAACAGTACCTTCCAAATAGAGTTACCATGAAGATTGAATGAGCTAATGCAATCAAAGTGGTAGAACAGAGCATTCTTTACTAAGTGCTCAATATGTGTCAGCTCTAATCTGGGGAACAGGAAAGCTCATCATTTTTTGGTAAAAGTCAGGTTGATTAAGGTGTAATTTATGTGCAATAAAATCTACCACCTTTGGTGTACATTTCTACAAGTTTTAACAAACATATGCAATCAAGTAACCACTACCACAATCGAGATACATCACCCCAAAAAGTTCCTTTGCGCCCCTTTTTCATCAACCCCTCTCCCCAGCCCTAACCCTAGGCAATACTGACCTGTTTGCTGTCCCTATAGTTTTGCCTTTTCCTGTATGATATAAATAGAATCATACAATGAGTGGCAGAAAGCTCATCATTTTTAAAGGCTGACACATATGCGGCATCTAATGAATTTCTAAGTATATTTAAAGAATCAAGTTACAATTATCATTCCAAATCAGATGATATATTTCCTGTTGACTTACAGAAGAGGTATAATATTTCAAAATGCCTCCTGAATTAGTTCCTTTATGGGTAAGTGGATCTTTCTCATATGCTATCTAATCAGTCAAACTTGAGGCTGGAGTTGGCAAGGAGGAGGATATGCCATAAGGAGATCTCATGCATTCCGAAAAGTGAAATAAAAGTTCTTCTTACCTGAATGAATAGTGGGAGGAGGCTCTAGAGTCACTTGAGGCAGGAAGTCAATTAGATGGTTATCCATCTCTCTATTTTAGGGGAAGTCTGGAGAGTGGCAGGGAGTAATGCCAAGGGCAGGGGCATTTTATTTGTTTTGTTTTGTTTAATTTATGGCTTGGACTCTGGGATGAGCTTGCCTTGAAGCCTGTCCTGCGGCAAGCATAGGAGATAGCCACTCCTAAGTAAACTTGGTGGCACAGTGACTGTCTCCGTTCCCATATGGTATGGCGGGGCTCCTGAAGTTCCTTCACGGAGTGAGAGGGAAGAAAGTGGCTGAGTTGAGAATGGCCCACTGTGACAAGGGGAAATGACCCTACAGCAGAGAGCATGGGCTAATCACCTAGACCAGGAGCTAGATAGAAGACAGCTTCGAGGGGTTTAACACTAACAAGAGCCTGGAGAACCAAGGTAGCCAGGAATCACCCCCAAACCCTGGCCAAGAGGCCAGTGGGTGAAGCACACCTACAGTCAACTTAGCTCTATGCAAAGGTCAGGAGGGAAGGCAGCGGGCAATGGTGGGGATCGGAGCATCCAGGGACACTTCTTGGATTCCAAACCTCTCTATTCTAGTCCCATGATAATTCAGTTCAGACACCCCTCCCCACGATCCCATCTTGTGGAAGAACAGGAGAGGGCAAGGACACTGGTAAGACTAAGCCTTTTCCTTCAAGCACTGTTTGAATTGCTGCAGCAGACGAAGGTGACTCAGTGGGTGAGGGCTTGTGAGAAACTCACAGGCTGTTTTCCCAGCCCACTCGAGCATAAGGTGTGTGCCCCTCCAGCCCCAGTATGCTCCCATTACAATTTCACAGCTACTTTATCTTAACTTCTGATCCATTACCTCTTGGTGGTGGCCCCTAGTACCGCAGCTTCAAGACTCTTGGTCTTGGAATATTAGTCAGCCATAAAACAGAATGAAATCTTGCCACTTACATCCACAGGGATGGATTTAGACAATATAATGCTAAGTGAGATCAGTCAGAGAAAGACAAATACCATATGATTTCACTCACACGTGGAATTTAAGAAATGAAACAAGCAAACAAAGGAAAAAAGAGATAAATCAACAAACAGATTCTTAACTATAGAGAACAAGCTGATGGTTGCCAGAGGGGAGATGGGTGGGAGATGGGTGAAGTAGGTGAAGGGGATTAAGCGTCCACTTACCATGATGAGCACTAAATAACATATAGAATTGTTGAGTCACTATATTGTACACTTGAAACTAATATAACGCTGTATGTTAATTATACTGGAATTTCAAAAGTTTAAAAAATAGAATCTTGCTCCTGCAACTTGTACACAAGCCAGACATTTTAAGGACTAGTGCAATGCATCCCTCTGTAAATAATGATTTTATTTTTTAAAGCTTTATTTATTTTTGAGAGAGCGAGAGCGCAGGGGGAGGAGCAGGGGGAGAGGATAAGAGAGAATCTCAAGCAGACTCCCCACTGAGCACAGAGGCTGATGTGGAGCTCGATCTCACAACCTGGAGATCATGACCTGAGCCAAAATCAAGAGTCGGAGACTTCGCCAACTGAGCCACCCAGGGGCCCCAATGATGATTTTTTAAAAAGTTTGTAACTCAAATAAGCACTCCGTAACTCATCTTTAAGTTCAAGATTTTACCATTCAGATTTCTTCAAATTTCTCCCTTTCTTTTTGGATACACACAAAGGTATATCGTGCCATTAGATGCATTTATGCATTTCCAGAATGCAAACGTGAGCTTTTTATAATGAGCAATTGTAATGGGATTTGGCTTCTAGGAGAAGATTAAGAAAATGATTATAAATAATAGGAAGAACAAATGTCCTCTATCTGAGAGCAAATAAACTATAAATGTTAGGGCAGGTTACAATGCTTCAGTGATAAAGTAATTAGTAGTTCCTATTGAAACAAGCTTAACCCAAGGGAAATTTCATAACCAATTATATTTCCCATGCATAACTGGGCAGGAAAAATATGAGATTTAGGAAGGTAGAAAAGGAACTTCTTTGTAGGCCTAGATTTAGGAAGGTAAAAAAGGAACTTCTTTGTAGGCCTCCGTTAAAAGTAGACGTTGGACCATGAATGCACTCCAAAGTATATCATTATTTTTTGCACTTTTATCACTCTGAAGTGAGGAAACCAATCTAGGAAAAAGGTGAGCATCAGCATTCGGAAATGCAATGGAAAATTATAAATTATGAGAGCTATTGATAAAGCTGGTATTTATAGCTCTATCAAGGATTTTATATTATTTACATCTGCACTGTAGACACAATCAAAGCCCACTAACCTATCCCAATTTATTAATGCTGTTTTCATTTTCAATGTCAAATACAAATGAGACAAAGATGCTCGGAGAGCGTTACTTGGATCAAGATTTGAAATACAGCCACTTAAAATAAAGGCCTCCCAAGCCAGACTGTAGGTTTTGATATAAATTGCATCCAAACTGGTATCACTGAGGATGTATCTTTGCTATTCATCTACAAACACAAATTCTCGTGAATGATATCAGATAGTGCCTGGGCATACAAAATATCCACTCACCTGGTGAGTTTCTGATTCCGAACACTTTGGAAGAGTGTTCCCCAAAACCCCTCCAGATTCTGTGGTTGAGAGAAACATAATCAAACAGGAAGCATAGACAATTGCCTCTGTCTTAGCACATTGGTCCACTTCCTCCCCACCCCAGTCTTAACTTCCCTTTCCTTTAGTGAGGTCTTCAGTTTCATCTGTTCACTTACTGATTTATTCACTTATTTGTCTTATTAGTTATCTATTACTGTGTAAGAAATTACCCCCAAGACTTAGTAGCTTAACACTACACACATTTATTAACTCTTAGTTTCTGAGGGCCAGGAGTCGAGGCATGCTTAGCTGGTTCCTCAGCTTTAGTGTCTCTCACAAGGCTGTAATCAAGGTGTTGGCCAGGGTAGAGATCTCATCCGAAGGCTGACTGGAGGAAGCATCCACTCCCAAGCTCATGTGGTTGTTAGTAGGATTTGATTCCTTGAGCTTTTCCAACACATGAGCTTGTTTCATCAAAGCATATAAAGTGAGAAGGTGATCAGGAAGACAGAAGTTACCATCTTTTGTGACCTAATCATGGAAATCACATACCCTCAACAGTGCTGAATTCTATGGGTTTGAAGCAAGCTACTCCAGGTAAAGAGATGACACAGGCTGTGACTACTAGCAGGTAGGGATAACTGGGGCAATTTTAGAGGTTGCCAATCACATTTTTTAAGAATTTGTTGAGCACCTCCTAGGTGCTCGGTGCTGTGCTAGGTGCAGGGAATACAGTGGTGAACTTCCTTCTCTCAGAACTTACAACCCATCTGGAAGGAGAGGAGCAGTCCTTGAATAGATTATTGCAATTGTGATAAGCCCACTAAATTAGAAATACAGGGAATAAAGGATCCACCCTGGTCTAGGTTGAGGGAGGTAGGATGTCAAAAGGGACATTTCAATGGAAACTCAAAGAAGGACTGGCCCAGAAAAGAAGAGGAGGAAAGTTTTCCGGGCAGAGGGAATAGCCTGTGCAAAGATCCTGAGGCAAGAAAGATCACGTTGTATTTGAGGGTAGAGCAGCTGGAATATAGAGTGAGACAGCGGGAGAGCAAGAGAGGGAAGTAGGGCCTTGTCTGCTATATTAAGGAAGTTGGTCCATAGCCAATGACCAAAGGGAGGCCCTCGAGGAGTGATTCAGAAGCTCTCTCTGACCACCTTTCTCCTTCTACAGGTCCTCTCTCTACTGGCCTACAGTCAGTCTTGTGGCTATGACCCTGCTCCACGACACTACTGAGTGGCCTGACTCCCCTCTATCCTGTAACAATATCCCGCTGATACTGTATCATATAGTCCCAAAGGCTCTTCCTTTTTCCACCTCCAGGATTTTTCTGGCAGTTTTCAAACTGTTTTCAAACAAACAAACTCCTATTATTTAAAACAGCCAAAAGCAGAACCACTTGGATCAAAGATCGTTACAGGAGGAAAAGGACGCTTGGAAGTGCTCTCCCCCACAATCCCACGGGGACCCCCAAAACACCTGTCTGGAGCTCCAGGACTCCAGTTTGAGAAACATGCCCCTGGGCCACAACTTTATCAACTGTTATTCCCAAGGACTCATTCTGTCTATAAACTTTTATTGAATCCTTACGACATATTAGACATGTAATAGGCACTGAGAATAGAAAGTGATTAAGATGTCTCTTCCCTCCATGAATTTACTGTCTAAAGAGGGATTCATGTGGTTGAATGACTCATTGCATTACCATGTGATACGCAATTATGGAGGGTGGGGTAGGGAACCCTGGTGGCTCAAAGGGGACACAGTCAGGGAAGACTTCAAGAGGAGATGAAGCTTGAGGGAAAAGGAGTTTGCAGGTGAACAAGAGGCCAAGTGGTACCTGTCTCTGAGGATTTGCTCTTAATCTGAAATCACTTCCTTCACTCTGCCCATGTCAGACACCTCACCATCTAGATGGGGGTCCTTTCTCAGTATGCTAACAACTGCCCTAGGTTTTAAGTAGAAAGGCCTTGGTTGATCTCCCAGGTTCTATAATAACCATAGTGTTAGAAAGCTTGCATTGGATTTTTAATTTCTCAGGGTTTCTGGATTAGAATAGAAGATGAGCACCTTTATGCAGTTCTATACCTCAAATTGTCTTCTCCCCCTTATAGAAGGAGGGACTGAGCAGAGAACACTCTTTGTACCCCATCTCAAAGTGTTTCCTCCCTACCAAGGTTCTGCCCAGAAAAGGCAGCCTTTGACCTCTGGTCTGATTTCAGAGTCTGAGGCTAGGGTCACCCATCAGGTCTAGCATGTTCTGTTGGTCTCTGGGATCCTCCCTGATGTGCCTCAACAATCCCAAATTCTAGGGTGAGATGGCTTCCATTTCCTGGTTAATTAATTAGCCAGGGATTTAACTAATCCTTCATAACTGACAACTGAAAGCTCATACCAGTCCTAAAACAGTAAGTTCAGTAAATTTAAAGTCTCAGCACAGTAAAGGATGCAATACTAGGCTGAGGCTATGCAATAGCAGAAGAACTGGCCACACCTAGAAAAAGGCTTCAAGCCTGGATGTTGGGTTATGCAAGCCAGGCACTCTGTTGTTTAATGGTTTTATCTCTCCTTGACTCATCTGGCATGTTTTAGCTTAGCCTCAGGCCGGGTTTGAATAAGAACAGCAAAAGAATCCAGCTCAACCTTCCTCCATAAGATATTCCTTCCAACAAAAAGTAAGCTCTATCTCTGTCCTAAAAACTCAGGTCACCTCTTGATTTTTGGACATACTGTTGAGTGTGGGCATAGTATCTTGGGATCCCTACACCTCTTATAATGCTATCTTAAAATTTTGTGCTGTTTTTCTTCTCAAGGGATGTGCTTTGTCTGCCTGAGTAGATTGTAAATTCCTTTTAGGCTCAGGGAACGCTTTACTCTCGTTGGTATTTATGGTTCTTTCCCACCTCCAGTAGACTTAGCACAGTATCGTACAAGTAGGCACTCTATCAATATTTGTGTGTGAATGAATAACCATGGCCTACCCCATGTATGATGCAGCCAGTCTCATTGACATGAGGGTGCCCTAGCTGGGGCATTTGTGAGGGAATGGAGTTCCGGAGGCTGTCTGGGTGGGCAGCATATGGCTCATAGCTGGCAGGCGGCATCCACAGACCCTTGGCCAAGTATGTGTGAAAGTCAACATCTTTATGCCTTGGGGAAAACGTCACTGGTTAAACCTGCGTGGAGGGTGATTACCATTTACTTAACTCCAGCTTGGACGACATATCACCAGGTTTCACTTGCATCCTTCCCTTTAGCTGTAATTTAACCATTTTTGCCACATTTCCCTTCTTTACCCAAGAGTGCATTCCCTGAAAACAACCGCCCAGAGGATTCTACTAAGAGCAGCATGGTTTTTATCTCCTTTCAACTATTGCTTTATACGTACATTACGGGCAATTCGAATTTCATCTCCTTCAACCTTGATGAAAAGTTGAAGAGGAGGTAATATAAACAGAGTGTCATGACGCTCTTATTCAAATCAGGATTTGCTTTTTAGCGCAAGTAAGGGGACTTCATGTCCTTAGCCACAGGATAACCATGTCAGGAGGGCATTAGGCCCCCCTACGGCATGCCCTCCTGGCTTTATGACTGTGGGTGACTCACTCAACCTTCTGGCAACTTCCTTCCTGCCACTCAAGAGGTGAGAAAGACAGTGGGGATATTATGAACTGCTTCTCAGGCTAAGGATATTTTGAGAATGAATTGCTTTTTGTCCATCCCTTCTAGGAAAAAGATACACAAAAAGTGTGGACTTCTGGGCTCACGTTTTCCATAAACTGGATCCTGTTCCTGTTTCCCCTATTTCTAGCAATAGTAACTATTGTAACTAATAACTACTTAACACCTTTCCACGGCAGCCAGTCAAGTCTTAGCAAATCTTCCTTGCCAAAATCTGTGCATCTGTCCTTTTTCGTATACCTCATTCATTCACTTAGACACTGTTACTGACCATCAGTGAAATGCAAGCCATTGTATTAGTTGCAATGGATATTATTTCTATCCATAAGACTAAGAAATGGATAGAAATAAAAAATAAGTTCCAAGTGTAATCTCCCGTCTGCAATCTCTTACTCATTTTCTCTATAAAGTACTCCACTGCTTAATTAATTAATTAATAATATCCCTAAATAAACTTATAATCATGTCGCTTCATGGCAGTAAAATTTTAAATAGCTCTTCAGTGCTCACGGGATAAAGATCAAACTCTTAATTTAACTTTTTTTTTTTTTAAAGATTTTTTTATTTATTTGACAGAGAGAGACAGCAAGAGCAGGAACACAAGCAGGGGGAGTGGGAGAGGGAGAAGCAGGCCTCCCGCCAAGCAGGGAGCCCGATGTGGGACTCGATCCCGGGACCCCAGGATCATGACCTGAGCCGAAGGCAGACGCTTAACGACTGAGCCACCCAGGCGCCCTCTTAATTTAACTCTTAAGAGCTTCTAAAATCTGGAATGAACTTATTTCCTGATCTTACTTCCCACAACTCCCCACTGTAAATTTTCTACTTGGACAAACTGGTCAGATTACTATACTAAAAGTATACATCCTTTTCCCACTCCAATCTATTGCTAAGAAGAAAGCCATGGCCCAAAATGGCGTCACTTGGGCTAAGCCCCCAAACTAGAGCTTAATACTTATACTAATTATAGTTTCAACCTCCCCCAGAAATGTAGTCTTCAGTCAGTCCGGAATTTTCCGATAAGCATCAGTGAGGTAATCTGTCACTGGGCTCTCTCTATCCCTCAAAGGAAGATGAGGTAATTTGCATGATAACACCCCTTGCTCTTCCCCTAAGGGAAAGTGACCTTGCCTGAAACAATCCTTTTCTTTTCTTTTGCTAATAACTCCTCGCTCCACCCTCCTTCCCATAAAAACCTTCCCTTTTGTACAGCTCCAAGCCACTTGCTAGATGGGCTGCTGTGGGATTCATGAATTGCTTAATAAAGCCAATTAGATCTTCAAATTTACTCAGTTGAATTTTTGTTCTTTAACACTCTTTATTCATACATAATGGATTGGATGTCTTCTGTGTGGC